TCTATGCCAGAGCTTCCAGTAATAAAGACCAAGCACTGCTGCTCACTCTCCTTGTGCAAGGTGACTTGTATCCGCCCCCTCCTAGTTAGCCTATGGTGGGTGGAGCCTGCTGAGTCACTTTCACAGTTCTGCTCTCTCCACAGATTATGTACAGTACAGTGATGATTTATATCAGGTAATAACTGGGTATTTAAAAGGTATTTGTTGCAACTAAAGTGGATTTATATGCTCTATGGCTATTGGGTAATACACGGAAATTAATGTTTTGAACATTCAGCTTTATTATAGCTATTACTGTTATTATAGCTTACAACATTTTACTAGAATATGGATCTTATTTCCTAAAGTATGGTTATATCTCCTTTGCACACCTTATAAATTTACTTTTAGTCAGGTGCTTAAACAACTGGTGGATTGCTCCACATCAAACTAATAAAACACACACTGATCAGCTATAACATGACCACCCACCTCATAATGAGTAGGTCCCCCTTTTGTCACCAAAACTGCCCTGACCCATCGAGGCATGGTCTCCACTAGACCTCTGAAGGTATGCTGTGCTATCTGGCACTAACGCGTCAGTAGCAGATCCTTTAAGTTGTAATTAGCACGGTGGGACCGCCATGGATCGGACTTGTTTTTCCAGCACATTCCACAGATGCGCAATTGGATTGAGATCTGGAAAATTTGGAGGCCAAGTCAACATCTCAAACTTGTACTTTCCCTAAAACCATTCTTGAACCATTTTTGAACCATTTTTTGCAGTGTGTCAGGGTGCATAATACCACTGCCATCAGAAAACATAAGGGGTGTACTTGGCCAGCTACAAAGTTTATGTAGGTGGTGTGTGTCAAAGTAACTAGGGCTGCAACAACTAAATCGAGATAATCGATTATTGAAAAAGTTGTCAACTTTTTCAATAATCGATTAATCGGCTTCCGATCAGTTGGCCCTGTTCACAGCTCCACACGCTGTGCGCCGCACCTCCTCCCCACCTCACGCTCGCCGCTGCCAGACCCGCCCGCATCCACGCTCCACACGCCGCACCTCCTCCCCGCCTCACGCTCACCGCCCGCCCACATCCACGATCGGCACAGGGACGCGGGGAGAAGAAGTAAGGAGAAGAAGGTGTGGGCGGATGACAGCCACCGATAGACAGGCCTGATCTCAGAAACAAGTTGCTGGAAGACTGCTCAGGTAAGCCTGCACTTTCCCACACATGGTGCTCTATAATGTATTGCTGGGATTTGTATTCCTCTATAGCTGATGGTACATTGTGCTGTATATTATACATAGGAATACAAATCCCAGCAATACATTATACACTGTATGTATAATGTATTGCTGGGATTTGTTGTATTCCTATATAGCTGGTGGTATTCTGCATTGCGCTGTATAGAGGACTACAAATCCCAGCAATAATACATTATACACAGCAATGCGGAATACCACCAGCTATAGAGGAGTACAACAAATCCCAGCAATAATACATTATACAGGGGTGCAATGCCGAATACCACTAGCTATAGAGGACTACAAAACCCAGCAATAGTACATTATACAGCACAATGCAGAATACCACCAGCTATAATGTACTATTGCTGGGATTTGTTGTATTACTCTATAGCTGGTGGTATTCTGCATTGCACCGTATAATGTACTATTGCTGGGTTTTGTAGTCCTCTACAGCCAGTATCATTCTGCATTCATTGCTGTATAATTTTACACTTTTCATTTCACTATATTGCACACCACACTCTTTTTTCTTTTTTACTTCCACCGCTCCAAGCTTGCTCCTGTAATGGACTGCAATCTCAATACAAACTAGCAGTCCCATCACTGAAGCCATTTTTTTAAATGTATTTTATTTTTTATCCGATTAATCGAACTTAATAATCGGCTAACTAATGGATTTTGAAAATAATCGTTAGCTGCAGCTCTAAATCTAACATCAACATGCATGACAGGACCCAAGGTTTCCCAGCAGAATCATTGCCGGATTGCCTTCTTCCCATAGTGCGCCCTGGTGCCATCTCCTCTCCTGGCAAGTGACACACATGCACCCAGCCATTCACATAATGTAAAAGAAAATGTGATTCACCAGACCAGGCCACCTTCTTCCATTGCTTTGTGATCCAGTTATGATGCTCACCTGCCCACTGTAGGCGCTTTTTGCGGTGGACATATGTCAGCATGGGCACCCTGGCCGGTCTTTCACTAAGCAGCCCCATACTCAAACTGTAATGCACTCCGTGTTTAAACACCTATCAGAACCAGCATTAACTTTTTCAGTAATCTGAGCTACAGTAGCTCTTCTATTGCATCACACTACATGGGCCAGCCTTCGCTCTCCACATGCATCAATGAGCCCTGACCACCCATGACCCCGGAAAGGAAGGAAAACGATGGTTCACTGGTTTTCTCCTTTCTTGGATCCACTGGCCACTGCTGACCAGGAACATCCCACAAGAGCTGCAGTTTTGGAGTTGCTCTGACCGAGTTGTCTACCCATCACAATTTGGCCCTCCTCAAAGTCACTCAAATCCTTACGCTTGCCCATTTTTTCTGCTTCTAATACATCAACTTCAGGGACAAAATGTTCACTTGCTGCCCAATATATCCCGCCCACTTCCAGTTGTCATTGTAACGAGATAAGCAACGTTATTCACTTCACCACTCCGTAGTCATAATGTTATGGCTGATGAGTATAGGTTGCCTACTAGGGCTGCAACAACTAATCGACATAATCGATTATAATCGATTATTGAAAAAGTTGTCAACTTTTTCAATAATCGATTAATCGAACTTAATAATCGGCTAACTAATCGATTTTGAAAATAATCGTTAGCTGCAGCTCTATTGCCTACACACTGAGTTTAAATATCTCGTCTTTACTGACGTTCTTGCAGTATAAAGAAATATTGCAATGTTTTGGAACCGCACAGGGCCCCTTCGTCCAAGTATAGTGTCATCTCATTTCTTAAAAGTATTTAACTGCATAATTTTGGAAGGCAGCATAGCTTTTATTAACCGGGAAATAGCTGGGGACTCATGCAAATGTAAACCCTTATTCCACCAAAAGGCCCTAAAAAAGAAGCGAGGGAGCTGCATGAGGTCCACAAACAGTTATATACCAAACATACAAGTGTATTTAAGCACAGACAAACACATTTCAATGGTTTAGTGATTTATTTAATTTAGTGGCACCTGTAATACATGACCTTTGAGGCCAGTACATACCAAGACAAAAGACATTTAAAAAAAAAAACCACATTCATGAAGGGACACTTATGAGGAAATCCCCCTGGATGGTTATGGTGCAGAAAAAGACTAGTATACAAACAATCTGACATATGCTCATAAGACTCACATAGAAAAGCCTTATGTACGGAGTGAGAACGGAATCTGCTTAAGCAAATGCTTCATGTCATGACAATGACTAAATGGTTAAACACATACATCCATACTGGCACTGTACTGGCTGTTTCTGGATAGTCACGGCAGTTTCGGATCTCTCACTAACAATACAAGGTTGTATTTTTGTATAGGATCGCCGTATCAGTAACCCTTTTCACTGAAGACAAGGGAGTGATTGGTGAGTGACTGCAAAGATTCCCCACCATGTTAGAACATCTTCTGGCCTTATAACAGGTACGTCTGATGGTAGAGAATGTTTGTTATTACTCAGGAGGTTCTGCCAGCTTATTGCAATCGCTTGCAATTATCGGACCGTGTATGGCCAGCCTTAATGACGCTGATATAGTATAAACTAAAAATCTCAAACCTAGAAATATACAGTATAAAAAGGTTTAAACATATACAGAAGTGACACCACAAAGATCATGTCACAAACAAGAAAAACTATAGATTTATAAATAGCAATTTAGCTATGTACATTTTCCAAAGCTTTTTTGAGCAATATATATATAGTGCAGTAGCAAAAAAAAAAACAAAAAAAACCAGACACCTATATCACAAAACTCTTCATACATAAAACAGTAAAAGGACCGTTGGTTAGCATCACTCTGTCTTAACTGGTGGAATGCTATTTCCTTTCACATTTTGGCTTTCAAGAAGAGTCTAGAGCAGAGGTCCTCACAACTATCCCAAGGCTTCACTAATAGAACATGCTTTATGGATTCCCTCCGTGGAATAGAGCTAGATCAAATCACCTCCAGAACTTTCATATGTGCTTTTGTAAGGAGATCCATAGAACTGTCGGGCAGACTTGAGAACACCTTTGAGAGCCTCTGATCTAGAGAACAGGCATCATGGAACAAAATCAGATCAGTGTGGGACACTGAAGGCTTTATTTAATAACAGTGCAAAGAGAAATCAGAAATCACAATTTAATAGTCTAGTGACATTTAAAAGCAGATTTCCAGTTGGCTTCTATTGAAAACAGCAGTTCTCTCCTTTGTGCTGTCTCCTCCACTCTCTACTGATGATACCTCCACTCTCTACTGATGATACCAAGTCTCAAAATGTAAGATGCCAGCCACCATGACTTTTCTGATGCCAAGACAGGAAAAAGCAGTGAGTGGAGCAACCTGCCCGAGGTGTATAAACAATGCTGCTAAAAAAGGGGAACACTTACTTAGGGCTCTTCCTATTACCTCCTACCCAAACCCAAGTGTTTACATGAAGCCCCATATCTGCAACAGGAACTGACTCTTCCCAGTGAACCTGTTAAAGTGTGCACATAATCCCATATCTTAGTACTGCATATACAGGATAGAAAAAAAAAAAACTATGACAGTCAACAAAACAGGTCAAATAAAAAACGGCTGTAAAAAGCAGGAAGATCCTTTACTGCATGACACAATGTACAAAACAACATGTCATAGTGATTGTACTGGGCCAAGGTAGCTCTTAAACGAGTGAAAGGAAAACAAAAAACGGAATATAATAATATAATGATCTATACATTAGTTTGCATAAAATGCTTCTGTTCTGCCACTTGCATTGAATGTACCTTGTCTAGCACTTCCAGTCAATGTGCTGTAATCAGTTTGATTGTCGGTCACATTCATTTGACCAACTTTTGATACGCAGTCTAGAACAACCTTTAACGTTGAAAAAGACATGCTTTGGTGTTTACAATATGGAGAAAGAAAGAACAGAAGGAAAGAAACATGCAATGACAATAGTTTTGGCTCTTAGTGGATAAACGAGACAGATTTTTGCACATGTAAAACTGCTCAGACAAACCCTGAGGAAACCGCTTCGGAGGTACTTATATCCTGACCCCCTGCGAGACTGCAGCTTGTCTCGTCCACTAGAGTGAATATCGGTCTCTTTCACCATAGACACCACATATGAGCCCTACGACAGGGACTCTGAAGAATATGCTAGCTTGGAAGCTGTATCCCCTGAAAGGGATTCACTTGATGGTTCCAGGTCCCCATTTTCATGTCCTTCATCATGATGCTTTTGCTCGAAAACTAGAAGAAAACAAACACATAAGACATGCTGAAGAAAGGTTCACCAAGGACAAAAGTATACATAAAGCTAAAAAGGAGGGTCTGTCCGTTTTATGCAAGGAGACCGGATGGTGAAGAACTATGTCCATCTTACAAAACTTTTAGATGATCTGGAGGAGGTGGTGGTTGTTCTTTGTCTTTTGGATGGGAAGAATGCACATAATAAAAAGAGGACTTTGCTTTGCATATTCTTTAGTACGTTTGAGGTTTTTTTAAATGACAACTATGAGGTGAGTGATTTACGCTTACTCTCATAGTTAGAGCCGACATACGACATTGAAACGGTCAAACGTCGGCTCTATTGATCGGGAAGTGAGCGAACACATACCGTTGCTCACTCACTTCCCGCTCATCTCCCTGCAGAGAGTGTATTTACCGTCAGTCACTGCTCCCTGCAGGGATCCCCCCCCCCCCTCCGATCCTCCAGCACTAACTGGAGGAACGGACAGGGGAGGGGGGCAGGCACAGCTGGCTCGTCCTTTAGATAGGCAGAGCCTGCTGTCTATCAGCCAGCTAGGTGGATCTCGACAGTATTGTCGGGATCCATCCTGGCTGCGGTGCTCAGTGTATATAGTGGGCAATAGCCCCGCTATATACTAAGCTTTGGGTCACGGGAGGACGTTAGTATATGTCCTCCCGTGACCCTAAAGAGAACTATGGGATAAATAGGTTACTCCACAGTTCTCTTTTAACTTCCTGTGCAACAGATAGATCTAAATAATCCTTAACATCAGATTTGATGTTTCATTTGATGTGGTATAAAGGCTGAAGCATAATGAACAAAATATGCATTCACACAAAAGTCTACAAGGTCTTTCTGTTCCATGTTGTAAGTACTAGCTATCCTCCAAGTAGCATTAATTCCAACAGTTAATGCCAACAGCCTGCCCCCTGTGGGTCTACTGTCCGAAATCAGCCCTACATGTGCCATATTCTCTTCCATTCCTAATCCCGTCTACAAATTATTTTCTCCAAGGGCCCAGTCACAACTGTGTGTTGTGATAACAGGTGTTGGCATTGTGGCAGTATGGGTCCGAGAGTCAAACTTAAGAGTTCTAACCTTATACACCTAATAAGATCCCGAGACATTCAACAACTACTCCTCCTCTCTGAACCACCTCTTATATCTCCTTCCTTCAATATTTAGCATACGTGTTCAATAAAGAACAAAGCCAGATGGTCTCTGTGGAATCCTGTTCTATTACAGTTTGTTTAACAACTTACTATTTATCCTTGTACATAACTTCTTATCTCCTGTAAGAGGACTATGGCAAACAACTGAATTATATTTGTACATTCACACCTATATCTCAGGTGCGATTACGGATTCCTGTGTCAGGAACTTGCGATTTCCTGCAGCATGTAACCCTAACCTGCTGTTTACAAGCAGCAGCTGTCACCCATTTAAGTTAATGGTCAAGTAACAACGGCTGCATTTGAACGCCAGCACACCACATGTAATCGTATGTGATACGATTGAGCGTAGTTAGGAATTAATCACTCTCCCTGTTTCAGTCCCCATTACAGTGATCTCCCCTGTGTGGGCCTGTCAGAGTTGAACAGCCTTTCTTCCACAATCTAGCCCGCTAGGTCCCCTTTATCCTTCACACTGCAGCTCATTCATAACTATGAGAAATCATTCTCACAGTGTCTGTCCCCATAGGAATGGATGGGGCTTCAGCATGCATGCGCAGGATGAAGAGGATCAGGTGGGAATGCTTTTGGAAGAAAGGCTGTGCAGCTCTGGGCAGCATCGATGGAGACAGAGGTAAGTATTGGGTGGGCTGCACTCAGGGGATAAATATTTGTACTTTAAGTACATTTATTATCAGAACCTAAGCACAATAGCCATCTAGAAATAAAATGGGGGCATCTAAAGCTGAACCATTGGAGGATCTTTGTGTATAATGCAAATATGTACAAGCTTCCTTAGAAGGAGATCTACAGCTTTGTTGATTTATGCAATTGACTGTATGATTTTAGTTTGTAAGGTAGGAAAGGCCCCGGAGGAGAACACACGTCTGAGCTGGAGAGGGGGATAGTGGTGGTCTGTGGAGCAACTACAAATGGTTGCAAGTATATATTTTAAATTACCTCTTAGTGGTTTAGAGTCACCGCTTCCATCTTTGTTAGGTGCTGCAGGGTTACTGCCACCTTCCTCTAGCTCATCAAGATACAAGCGATAACGATGACCACTTTCATCTTCGTACTCTACATTTTCATCATCTGAGTCTATTTCTGGGGCAACATACACTACTTCAAACTCAATCTCTCCCCTCTGAAAGAAATGAGATAAAAAAAAGATATATATAAAAACATTTTGTTTCCATTAGTTCATAGACACAGCTGCCATTTATCTGAAAGCAAAGCACTTTTACATAGCAGGAGCTAAAATAGAAGAAACTGAACTCTAGGCAAAAGGCTGTGCTGTGTGATAGGGTTGTGATTTACACAGCCATAACACAGAACAGGCAGGTGGATGACACCACTTACAATTAAAGTCTTTTGTTTTTTTGGCATATATCTACTGCTAGCAAGAAACAAAGTTTAATGTCACTTTAAAAGGAATTCAGTGGTGTCCTCTCTCCACCCCAAGCTTACTAACCGGAAAGCAAAAGAGCAGCAGGCTGATTGAGCTCATCCCTCTACTCTCTCTGCATATCATCATGTTCTGTGTACACATATTATAATGCAGCACACCTTATCGGTTCTAAGTTCTGCCCTCCAAGTCTGAATGCTGCTGTATGGGGGATTGCATGAGGCTCTTAACAAGATATAACCAGATACCTACAGTAGTTGCATTTTTATCTGCCTGGAGTTCAGCTATATTTATCATCTTGAAATCCATATTGGTCTAGTAATCTCTTTGATCGTAGATGTGCTTATGTTACAGCGACACTAAACTCAGGAGCTAAACCTTACAAATGCATTCAAGTACCTTAGTGATTAGCAAAAATGTGTCTTATTTGTTTATCACTCGGCTGTAGAGCCTCAAATCATCTCTGAATTCGTATTACTCCAGAAGGAAGTACACTAAATCAGAGATGATTTGAGGATCTACAACTGAGTGATATACACATAAATGTTGTTACTAGTTAGCAGTTAAATCTTAAAAATGCATTCAAAATACCCTGAGTGTAGTGTCATCTTAAGGATATCCACACAAAAATAGCCACATTGGAGGGGACACAGGAAACAAAAAACAACAACCATTTTAATAACATGCATTTGTAATGCTTTATAATACAACAATGCCATACGGGTTCTACATTAACCATCTGTGGCATCTAGACCATTCACCTACGTAAAATATTACAACATTTAGCTCCTGAAAGGGTTAAATGTCTTGACCTACTGCACAGTATTTCATACCAGAAAAAAAAAAAATACAGTTGGGGAAGGGAGAGTAGCTGCTGTAACAATTAACCATGAGTATACCTTTATTCCCTTTACCATACCTTCCCTATATGCATCTAAATGGAATGTGCTCCAACTGGTAAGATTACCTCCAGCACACAACTCTTGCGTCATGTTTATCTGTCCTTTAGCTAAACCACAAAGCAACTTCACTGCCATATAAAATGTCATTCTGAGCGCTGATATTTAAAGTATGGTGTCAGCTTCACACCTCTTTGTATGTACCTTGATGCGTATCTAAATCCCAGAATAAAACTAACATATTGAAGCTTACCAATCCTTAGATGTAGTGGCTGTATTAGTTTTCTTCTTTGAGACAACCCCCCCTATATTTTCACCTATATTAACACACTTGCTATCCTAGAGTGATAACGCTCACTCACTGTAATGTATCTATGGAGGAATAGTGTTGTCACCCTAGGACATGAATTTGTTAAACAGCACACCTCCCCAGCTCCATAAACAAAGGAAGGTGTTTTGAGTAGATGCGTGTGCACAGAAGTTACAAGCTCACTTTTTTTTGCACAGGTATAACAAAAGTCTTTTAGATTGTATATTTAACATGCCAAAAGGGAGCGAATAAGAGGCGTTTATTGTTATGGTTTACATAAATTTTAACTTCAAGGGGTGTGACCAGAATAATCACCATGACAGTCTGTACTGTAGACTAGACCAACGAACAGTATACATGATTTAAGATTG